GACATCAAAATCCAGGAAGCATGGGGGACTCCCATTAGATTCAACAAAAACTGACCATCAGCAAGGCATATCATAGTCAAATTCACAAAATACCCAAGCAAGGAAAGAATCATGAAAGGAACAAGGGGAAAAAAGTCCTTAACCTACAAGGGAAGACAGATCAGGTTTGCAGCAGACCTACCCACAGAAACTTGGCAGGCCAGAAAGGAGTGGCAGGATATGTTCAGTGTGCTGAATCAGAAAAATATGCAGCCAAGAATTCTTTATCCAGCAAGGCTGTCATTCAAAATAGAAGGAGAGATTTAAAGTTTCCCAAACAAAAATTAAAGGAGTTCATGATCATTAAACCAGTCCTGCAAGAAACTTTAAGGGGGACTCTCTGAGGGGAGAAAAGATGAAAAGACATGCATACATACATACATACCAAAAGCAACAAAGAGTAGAAAGGACCAGAGAACACCACCAGAAACTCCAACTCTACAAGCAACATAATGGCAATAAATTCATATCTTTCAATACTCATTCTAAATGTCAATGGAGTAAATGCTCCAATCAAAAGACATAGGGTAACAGATTGGATAAGAAAACAAGATCCATCTATATCCTGTTTACAAAAGACCCACTTTAGACCTAAAGACACCTTCAGATTGAAAGTAAGGGGATGGAGAACCATCTATCATGCTAATGGTCACCAAAAGAAAGACAGAGTAGCCATACTTATATCAGACAATCTAGACTTTAAAATAAAGACTGTAACAAGAGATGAAGAAAGGCATTATATCATAATTAGGGGGTCTATCCCCCAAGAAGACCTAATAATTGTAAATATTTATGCTTCATATGTGGAAGAACCCAAACATATAAATCAATTAATCACAAACATAAAAGAAACTCGTTGATAATAGTACTGTAATAGTAGGGGACTTCAACACCCCACTTACAACAATAAACAGATCATCTAATCAGAAAATCAATAAGGAAACAATGACTTTGAGTGACACAGTGGACCAGATGAATTTAGCAGATATATTCAGAACATTTCATCCTAAAGCAGTGAAATATACATTCTTCTTCATTGCACATGGAACATTCTCCAGAATAGACCACATCCTGGGACACAAATCAGCCTTCAACAAGTATAAAAAGATCGAGATCATACTGTGCATATTTTCAGACCACAATGCTATGAAACTTGAAAGAAACCACAAGAAAAAATTTGGAAAAGTACCAAATACTTGGACACTAAAGAACATCCTACTGAAGAATGAATGGGCTAACCAAGAAGAGTAAATTTAAAAGTACATGGAAGCCAATGAAAATGATAACACCACAGCCCAATCCTCAAAGAGAAAGCAGGCAAAAACCTTTTTGTCTTGGCCACAGCAACTTCTTAACTCAACACGTCTCCAGAGGCAAGGGAAACAAAAGCAAAAATGAACTATGGGACCTCATCGAAACAAAACAAAACAAAACAAAACAAAACAAAACAAAACAAAACTTCTGCACAGCGAAGGAAACAAGTAGCAAAACTAAAAGGCAACCAACAGAATGGGAGAAGATATTTGCAAATGACATATCAGATAAAGGGTTAGTATCCAAAATCTATAAAGAACTTATCAAACTCAACACCCAAAAAACAAAGAATCTGGTGAAGAAATGGGCAAAAGACATGAATAGACACTTCTCCAAAGAAGATATCCAGATGGCCAACCGACACATGAAAAAATGCTCAACATCTCTCATCATCAGGGAAATACAAATCAAAACCACAATGAGATACCACCTCACACCTGTCAGAATGGCTAACATTAACAGCTCAGGCAACAACAGATGTTGGCGAGGGTGCCGAGAAAGAGGATCTCTTTTGCACGGCTGGTGGGAATGCAAACTGGTGCAGCCACTCTGGAAAACAGTATGGAGGTCCTCAAAAATTAAAAATAGAACTACCTTATGACCCAGCAGTTGCACTACTAGGTTTTTACCCAAAGGGATACAGGGATGCTGTTTTGATGGGGCACATGCACCCCAATGTTTATAGCAGCAATATCAACAATAGCCAAAGTATGCAAAGAGCCCAAATGCCCATCGATGGATGAATGGATATGGAAGATGTGGTACATATATACAATGGAGTCTTGCATGGCAATCAAAAAGAATGAAATCTTGCCACTTGCAATTATGTGGATGGAACTAGAGGGTATTATGCTAAGTGAAATTAGTTAGAGAAAGACAAATATCATACGACTTTACTCATATGAGGACTTTAAGACACAGAATAGATGAACACAAGGGAAGGGAAGCAAAAATAATATAAAAACAGGGAGGGGGGACAAAACATAGAGACTCTTAAATATGGAGAACAAACAGAGGGTTACTGTGGAGGGGTTGTGGGAGAGAGGATGGGCTAAATGGGTAAGGGACATTAAGGAATCTACTCCTGGGATCATTATTACACTATATGCTAACTAACTTGGATTAAATTTAAAAAATAAAATAAAAAATAAAAATAAATAAAAATTAAAACAAATAAAAAATAGGGACACCTGGGTGGCTCAGTTGGTTAAGTGTCCGACTTGGGCTCAGGTCACGATCTCGTGGTCTGTGAGTTCGAGCCCCACGTCAAGGTTCTGTGCTGACAGTTCAGAGCCTAGAGCCTGCTTCAGATTCCGTGTCCCTCTCTCTGACTTTCCCCTGCCCACACACTGTCTCTCTCTCTCTCTCTCTCAAAAATAAATAAAACATTCAAAAAATTTTTTAAATAATTTAAAAAATAAAAAATAAAAGAGTTTTTAAAGTATCATCCAGGATGAGGGTAGTGTCTGTACTGTGTTTGAGGACTATGAGACAAGCTACTCAAAATCATTGGGCTCAAAGCAGGAGGGCAGATTTTCAAAACAGTTGAAAAGTAATGGTGATTCAACACAGTAATACAAGTGAAAAGCAGTGAATGAAAAAATAAATAAAAATTAATTCATTAATCACAATGAATGAAAAAATAAAAAGTAACTAATCACTGAATCACTGAATCAAAATAAAAATGAGCAAACTGTAGAAACAGGTAACAGCATAAATGACCCTCCCATACAGGATATTGAGCCAGACACCAAATGAGACATACAATGTGATTTCATTTATGCAGAGCTCAAAAAAGGCAGAATTAGTCTATATTCTTTTGGAATGCATATAAAAATGGTAAAATGATTTTTTTGATTTATTTAGTTTTGATAAAATGAGTTGTTGTTTTTTTTTAAGCAAGGGATAGGATTCTACCAAATGTCAGAATCCTAGGTTCTCTCCATAAGGGGGGTGGGGTCCATGAGCGGTTGGAAGGACAGCTTGGGTTCTGACAACCATCTCATTCTTGGCCTCTGTGGTATTTCCTGTGTATTCACTGTATAGTAATTATTTAAACTGTATGTCTATCTTCTGCACCTTTTAAACCATAGCATATATAAAAAGAGGTTTAAGGGAAAAAAAGCACAATGACTGTGAGCAGCATCGTGGAAGGAGGAAGACCCAGTCTCCCCTGGGATTAGGCTCAAGCTAGTCATCAGATTCTGGGCAGACAGAGGCAAAGGAGGAGGGCAGCGTCTCTTGCAGAGGGCCACTGAGTGATGGTGTTAGCAGTGTCCCACAGAAGAGCAGCTGGGGACATTCTGTGAAATAAGGCACGTGAATCCAGAGGAAGTGACCTTAGTGCAGAAGGACCAAAGGGGTTTTCGTCTAGGGCATTAGGAAGGATGGGACAGGGGGAGCTGAGTCTAAGCAACAGACCTCAAACTTCTGAATGGAACTGAGGAACAGTTATTCAAGGTCCAAACTGACACAGCACACAGGTTCTGCTGGGTCCCATTTCTACCAGCAACTCCATCCTAGTCGTGGGGCGGGGGGGGCGGCGGGTGAGCTACCAGCCCATGCAGAAGCCACAGTATCTGTGGGACCTGACAGGCACCAGTCCCGCCCCCCATCCATTTTCATCTTTTTCTTCTGTTTTCTGTAAGACCGTATCTGCCATGAGCACTGTATCTCCAGAGCCCAGCACGGTGCCTGGGAGACTGATGCTGGTTCAGCCCTTGTGGAATGAACTAAAGAATGAATGAAGAATTCCTATTTCATATTGGTAGAAGCTAACTAAACCTAGAAGAGCTACAGACGGGAATGGAGCCAGCAGAGGGACAGATCGCTTAATACGCGCCATTTAATCCTCAAAACCGTTTTCCGTGACCAGCCTGATCTCTGGTTCCACAAGCTCCCCTAACAGTTTTTGCAGAGCCCAGACTTGGGCAGCTGGGGTTAAGATACGCCAAGGAAAGGAGCGAAAAGCAGGCTCTTGTTCCTTTAGTAAATGGACTTGCTACACTTTTTTTTTAAGTACAGAGCTGTTTTGAGATCGTTCCTAAGTGAGAGCTCTGTGGGGAAGAAGAGTGAATGGTTGTTTAAGGCAGTTGCAAGGCTGCAGAGACGGCTGGAGGAACGGCCACAGATCGAACCAGGTCGGAAGGAGGCAGAAACAGATCAATGAAGGAGACTGGGCTGCCTCACATCTCAGACACCTGGGGTGGGACAGAAAGACGAAGCAAGCTTGCAGACAGGGAAGATTAGAAAGGGAGCGGGGGAGGGGAGGCATGAGAGGGCCAGCAGGCACAGTAATAGAAGTTTGTTCTCCTGACTAGCAGGGAGCATCGCAGCCCCCACAGTGGGGTGGGCATGCCTGCTGCAGGGGCCTCCTAACCAGTGTCCGTGCCTCTGGCTTCCCGTGGATCCAGCCAGCACTCCCCACGCTGCTCTGGGTTAGCATGAATGGCAAGAAACCTGTGTTCTAATCCAAGCTTTAGAAGAATGCCGTCGGGTAGAAACATAATGCAAGCCACGTCTGTTATGTTATAGTTTCTAACAGCCACGTGAACAAGGCAAAAGAAGACACGGGTGATCTTATTTTTGATAATACATTTAATTTAGCCAAAAGTTTCCAAAATGTCATCATTTCAACGATACTTATGTTCCTACGGAGTCCATGAAATCCTGTGTGTATTTACACTGAAAGCACACTCCGGCCAGACTGGCCCCATTTCAAGGGCTTCGTGGGCACAGGAGGGGAGTGGCTACTGCATAGGACAAGGCAGGGCTGCTGGGTGACCCCGAGCGTGACACTCTACGTCTCTGAGCCTCCGTTATTTTCCTCCATAAAATGAAGTTTGGGCTCACAGCATTTCTAAGTTACCTTCAATACATTACGGACACACGTTATCAGCAAAGTAAAGCTCTGTTTCATAGCAAGGGACTCCACCTCCCACTCCGGCCAGCTGGTTGGAAGATGTGCAACAGAGGCTGATATTTCCAAACAGCAATACAGATCCGCTCAGATGACCAGGGAGTAGGCACAGGGGACAGTCCCTGCAGCACAGCCATTGCCTGTGCAGATCCGGAGCTAGAAATGTCAAGTTTGTGGCTGTACGCCCCGCAGCGTTCTTTTGTGGTGTCCTCAATCTGCAGAGATGAGAAAAGGGACATCGACTTCCACAAACCATGCAGCTGCCACCAGCAATGAGGACATCAAAGACAGAACCTTTATAAGCAGGAAACCCAAAGACCTTAAGGGTCCAATTGGTTGCCTAAGTTCCTTAAGAGAATTTAACTAGTATTTCTTCTGGAAGGTACACTGCTGGAGGTCACACGTTTGCTGTACTGGTGGCAAAGAAGGTGGGGGGAAGGGAGGGGTCTCCCTTCCAGGAGAACTATTCCCCAGAAGATTTTGCTCCACTGCCAAACTCTGCAAAGACAAGTGCACATTCCGGCCACGCAGCTGGCTTATTATAGAATTCTCCGGAAGCTGTCCAAGTTGGATAGAATCGTGCCTCACCTATACTCTGACTCTAACTTGCCTGAGCACATCATCCCCCATCCTCTTACCTGCCTGACTTAGAACCCGTTCCCTGTGTGCAGCCGCACAGTCTCGCTTCTTCCTACCCATGCTCTGCCTTTTGCAAATGCAGCGCTGACTTGAATGCCCCCCGGCCCTTCTCCACATTGCAGAATGCATCTCAATATGCAGCTCACAAAACTTGCAGTATTTCCTCTGTGAAGACTGTTGTAAGCAGCGACTTCTGTGTTTCCACGGCTCTTTGCAGGGTATCAGTGCCACAGTGCTTCTCAGTGACGTGCACCAAACTCCCCGCGGTGTGGAAATGGACAGACCAGAGTTCAGATCCCAACTCTGCCATTAACAAGCTTTGTGCCTCTTGAGCAAGTTACTTAACTTCTTGCAGATTCCTCCTAAATAAAACGGGGACCAAAATAACTACCCGCTGACGCTGCCAGGTTGTTTTAGCTAATCTTCACAAGATGCCACTCAATGGTGTTTATTAAAGCTGATAGCATTGGAAGCACCAGATGCTTGTGCCTTAGTCCATTCAAAAGACATTTACTGAGCAGCTCTTAAGGGCTGGCACTATTGTCGAGGAAAAGGAGAAAGTCTGGTAAATAAGTGAGTCAGTCCCTGCCTGGGAGCAGCTCGTTACCTCAATGCACAAGCTTCAGTCTTTGATGCTGGAACACGAGCTCCTCTGGAAGGCGTGCAAGCAGTCGGTGACTGCCTTTGGTAACTGGGCTCTGTCGGGACACCTGTCACCAGGCTGGAGAAAAGGAGACTGCTGGAAAGGAAACAAGACAAGGCTGTGTTCAGTAAGACGGGCCTCCCTAGGAGTCCACGTGGAACCGACAACAGCTTAACACCATCTAGAACATGCCCTGCCCCTACCTCCCTTATATTGACTTCCCATTTCAGAGAAGGCTCTGCCCCGCCTGAGAACTGGGAGCCACAGCTGAAAGTCAGCCGGGCCAGCACATGGTTTCAGGAGGATCGTGACAAAACACATCTTCCCCACCCCCAATAGGCCCAGTTTTCATGTAACGAAAGGAGAGAGGGTGCATGAGTTCATGCTGACTTAGCCATGCCTCCCTCAGGTAGACTAAGATTTGGGAAGAAAAAAGGAATGTGTTTCTTCTCTAAGAAAGGAGGTATCCTGGAGGGGAGAGTGGCTATCACTCTTGTGAGGGGTCGGCGGGGGGGGGGGGGGGGGGGGTTGCCCGAAACCCCCAGGGGCTGTGGGGGGGGAGGGGTCAGCAGGGGCAGGGCCAGGGGCAAGGGGGGTGGGGGTGCGGTGTGAGCAGAGAAGTCAGGGAGGAGCCGGTCTGGCAGTGAGGTAGAACACATAACCCCAGGCAGACTCCTCTGGAAATAGTAAGTTCCTCCCAGACGTTAGACTCAGGTAAGCAGAAGTCTTCTAGACCCCCTCTTGCTGTAGAGAGGGGACTCAACTGCGATGCCCAATCCTGACACCTTCAGTTGACAGGACTAGATGGCATGGACAGCCCGGAGAGCAGGTGGCTAATACCACAAAGTAGGCCTCAAGCTTGCAAAGCAGAGCCCTGGGTGGTGGGACAGAGGAGGTGCTTTCCAACCTCCACCCCAGGAATTGGGATTCCCCTAGGGTTCTCTCCTCCCAGGAGACTCCATCTGCCCCCAGGGAACTGGGTGGCAGCTGCTTCTGGTACTCAGTAAGCTGCAAATTTGCACTCACAGTGCAATACGGTGGGCTGCTTCCTAAGCATGTTACAGATGGAGAGAGCTCAGTGGTCCTCGCTACCTTCCTTACTGCTAACCATTTTTCCCTTGGTAGGAAAGATACCCGGGTGTACACATGGGCATTAAAGTTAGAGAAGATGAGAGAGACAGAGAGAAGATATCTCTGAAAGCTCTGATTCAAAACAAAACAACTCATTTAAACAAGGACACAAGCCTCGGTTAGCTGCAAAACTGCCCTAACCTGGATAATACTTGGTGACAAGCAGTGACATTTATGCAGATGAATGGGAGACAGAAGTGCTCACCGAGCATCCTGGGGACTGTGTCATTAAAAAGATGGGGAGAAAATGCAGCCATTTCTGCACAAACCAAGCACAAATCCAAAATGGGAATGCAAACTTGGTGCAGCCACTCTGGAGAAGAGCATCGAGGTTCCTCAAAAAAGCTGAAAATAGAACTACCTTAAGACCCAGCAATTGCACTATTAGGTATTTACTCAAAGGATACCAAAATACAAATTCGAAATAGTACATGCACCCCAATGTTTATAGCAGCATCATCAACAACAGCAAGCTATGGGAAGAATCCAAATGCCCATCAACCGATGAATGTATATATATAATATACATATGTATGCATATATATATATACACACACATATACATATATATGTGTGTATATATACATATAAATATATACACATATGTGTATATATACATACACATATATACACATATATACGTGTGTGTATATATACATATACATATATACACATATATGTGTGTGTATATACATATATATATATATATATATATAGCATGGAATATTACTCAGCCATCAAAAAGAATGAAATCTTGCCATTTGCAATGACGTGGATAGAGCTAGAGTGTATCATGCTAAGCAAAATAAGTCAATCAGAGAAAAACAAGTACCATATGATTTCACTCTATGTGGACTTTAAGAAACAAAGCAGATGAACATATGGGAAGGGGTGGAGGAGGAAAGAGAAGAAAGAGAAATAAACCATGAGAGGCTCTTAAAGATAGAAAACACGCTGAGGATTGACGGAGGGAGGTGGGTGGGGAATGGTGTAGATGGGTGATGGGTACTAAGGAGGACTCCTGTTGTGATGAGCACTGGGTGTTGTACGTAAGTGATGAATCACTGAATTCTACCTCTGAAACCAATATTACACTGTATGTTAGCTAACTGGAATATAAAAAAAAAAAAAAAGACAAAAACCAACTAACCAACCAAACAAACACAAAATAGGAAATGAGAAGGAGGATGGGTGAATGAGAGTGGCCTATCACCTCCAGTTCCCTCTGCCAGGGTCACCCTGAGAACTCAGGGAGCTGCCACTCAAATGCACCTCTGGGAGACAGGAAAGAGAAGTGACCGTGAATCAGAAGTTTAGTGGGCAAGTCTCGGATCTGCCCCTCAGGAGTGGTCTCAGAAAGTCTCCCAACACCTTGTTTGCCAGATTGTGAAGCATCCTCTCTCTTCGGGGCCTGGGTAATATGGCTCCACTTTCACATTCTGCTTTGTATATATGATTCCTTCTTCTAAACCCTGAGATTCTCCTTAGGTAAGAACTTTGTTTTACTCAGTCTCAATTTCTTACCCCCAGAGCCTACTTGGTATAGATTGGATGGAAGAAAGGAAGGGAGGGGAGAAGGGAGGGAAAAACGAAGAGGGAAGGAAAAGTCTGCTGCACGAGGCAGCGTGGGATACTGCACACATCTCTTTCTTTAAGTCAAATCTGGTGGGATCAGCTACTCTGGGGTCTCGATTCAGACCACACAGTGTCAATTCCTGGCCAAGCTAGCTAGCTGTGTGACCTTTGGCAAGTTTCTCATACTCTCTGTGCCTCAGTCTTCTTGGGGATAAATGACCAATTGTGACAGCATCCCTTTCTTAGGGCCGTCACGAGCACTGAATGACGCAATGTATAGAAATAGCTAATTATCGGGGCGCCTGGGTGGCGCAGTCGGTTAAGCGTCCGACTTCAGCCAGGTCACGATCTCACGGTCCGTGAGTTCGAGCCCCGCGTCAGGCTCTGGGCTGATGGCTCGGAGCCTGGAGCCTGTTTCCGATTCTGTGTCTCCCTCTCTCTCTGCCCCTCCCCCGTTCATGCTCTGTCTCTCTCTGTTCCAAAAATAAATAAACGTTGAAAAAAAAATTAAAAAAAAAAAAAGAAATAGCTAATTACAGTGGCTGGCACTTACAGGTACACGCTAAATATTAGCAATCGTTGCTACGTAAAAAGAAGAAGTAATTAAAATAAAGCCGGTGTGGCTGAATCAAGTTGGGGGATACACAGCCCCATCTGTTCTACCTCCCCGCCTCGTCCCATGGTGCTGGAGAGAGCCCCTGTGCTCCCTTTGGGTATTAGAAATCTGTGGAAAGCAGTGAGAATCACCATAGAAAGGACTCAAGTGTGGAAATCAGACCTGGGTTCCAATCTCAGATTCATGACTTAGAAAAAAGGAAAGTTCCTGAACTTCTCCGAGTTTCAGTCCTCATCTGCAATTTAGGGATGAACGAATCCTTCCTGACAGATGTGAGGAAGAAATAAGGGAAAGTATGCAGAGCATTTAGAACAGTTCACTTGGGGGCTCGATGAATTCACTTCCCTCCCTGCTAAACACCCCCCCTTACGTGTGCATGGTAGTTCATTATTATTTTCCAAGCGCGTAAAGAAAGCGTCTTACTTACACAGCCGCGAGGAATTTGACAACATCCAGCCCCGTTTGGACATGTGAGGTGGTCCTTTCCCTTGCTTGATGGACAGCAGTAAGTACTCAGGGTCTCCTGCAGCCAGACCTGTCAGCCTTCTGCCAACATCGGGGACAGACTGCCTTCTGACAGAACTGCCCCTTCCAGAGGCCACATCTTTAGCAGACAGCAAAAAAAGAAAAAAAAAAAAATGCAAATCAGGAAATATGTGGCTTTTGAAATCCCTTTATCAATTGTCAGATTAGGGTTGCTCCAAGACAGCTAGTAACTGAGCAAATATGAAAAAAGGAAAAACTCACAAATTCCCAAGAAAAGTTTCATAAATGACTCAAGAACGACAGCTACCTCGTTTCAAGTAAGACAGCAACCTGTCGCATAAAAAAAGAAACTTCCCAAACGTGTGTGGCAGTGCAAGTGGCTCCAAGACAGAGGGGAGGAAAGAACATTCCCTGCACGGAAAAGAGACGGTTCCTGACTACTCTTTCCCTCCACTTTCCTCCTCCCTTCTAAAATCAGAGCTTGAAGCTAGATTTTAAAAAGGAAGGACAGAACTAGAGGAATCATTTTATTTATAAATGATATAAATAAATCATTTATTTATAAAGACAGTATTATCTTTAATGCCCTAATTCCTTCAACAGACTGTTTTCCTCCTTTTTTGCTAATTAATTTTGTAATCTGGAACATTTCTAACGTGTGTAAAAATAGAATAACCCAATGAGGGGCGCCTAATTGGCTCAGTCGGTTGAGCTACTGACTCTTGATTTTGGCTCAGGTCATGGTCTCACGGTTCACGGGATGGAGCCCCCGTGTCAGAGTCTGTGCTGACAGTGTGGAGACAGCTTGGGATTCTCTCTCCCTCTCTCTCTTCCCCGCCCCTGCTCTCTGTGTCTCTCTCTTTCTCTCTCTGTGTCTTTCAAAATAAATAAATACACATTAAAAAAAAAAAAAAAAGGAATAACCCAGTGAGTCTATCAACCATTTTCAACAACTATTCAATCTTGCTCTACCTCTACCTACACTCACTTTCCCTCCTCCTGTACGATTTTTGAGGAAGATCTCAGACATCATATCATTTACTCCATAATATTTCATCCCAGCTGTATACTGAGCACCTTCTAGATAGGCTTACCCTGGCCAGGCAAAAACAGATGGGGAAGGCTCTGGCCCTCACAAAGCTTGGAGGGAAACATGGATCTGGTGAAACATGCAAAGTTGAGGCATTTATTTATGCAACAAATGTTGTAGCGTGCGATTAATGCCAGGCACAGTTCTCAGGGCTTTACAATATCAATTTATTTAAACGTAGTCCTCCAAAGTCCCCAGGGGGGTAGGTAAGATGATCTTCCCCATTTTACGAATGAGAAAGCTGAGGCACAGAGAGGCTAAGTGTTTTGGCCCAAGGTGACACAGCTAGTAAATGGTGGAGCTGAGGTGCACAAATTGCTACGAAGACGCAGCAAAGGAAGCGGATCATTCTATCTGGGGCCACTGAGGAGTGAGTGGAAGTTCCCCACGTAGACAAGCAAAGTTCCCCGTGTAGACGAGGGCGTGAACAACGGTCCAGAAAAAAGAAAGAGCTCAACACGCAGGAAGCAAGAGTTTTGGAACCGCTGGACCTGGAACTGGAAAGGCAGGTGAGACAGGGCTATGAAGGGCTTTCATGTGCCGAGTGGAGCGGTGTGGACGTGCCATGGCCTCGGGACAGCCCGCAGAGCCTCAGCAGGTGAATGACAAGATCACATCATATTAGAAAGACAACTCTGAAAACTGCATGGAAGACAGACTGCATGGGCTGTGCGTGTCCAGGTAAAGCTGGGAGGTGATCACGTCTGGACAAGAACCATGGAAGTAGGAATAGAATGAAAGATACAGAATTAGGAATCAAGGGACATGATGATGATCGGAACTTCCATTTCTCAGAGTGTTGGCAGAAGCCCAAAGCTCTGAACAATAAAGAGCAAGTACTGCGAGTTCTGAGACTGGTGCTGGACACGCTGACAAAGAAGCTGAGAAGTGACCAGACCCCGTTCTGAACCCTTCAGCCCACCCCCCACCACCTCCACTCCCCAGATAAGAGCTGCCTGGAGATTTCTCCGGGAGACATTTCTTCGCAGAGCATTGTTGGCAATATAAGGGAGGAATGTTCTCCCCTCTCAAGCCAAGAGAGGGAACTCAGTGGCCCCCAGATCAACGGGACACCAGAGTGGTGGGGAAATTCTTGGGAGCACATGACAGTCTTCTCAAGAGTTGGGTGGGACAGAATGAGGTGACTGACTGTTACTCAGTAAGCAGAGCCAGAATGCTGCAGCAGGAGACACGAGGAGCTTCTGAGTTCATAGCAAAGGCATCAGATGGTTAAGAGACGGCCTGCCTGGGTCGCTGCTTCCCCGCAGGAAGAGGCGGCATTGTGCTGCTGGCAGCTGCTGAGAGGCGGTTGGAGAGGGCTGCTTAGAGGTGCAGGATGAGAGCGCCTTGGAAGGGGTGAGGAGTCACCACGGCAGGCCTGACCGCTCTCTGATGAAAGCCTTGCTTACAACGGTGGCCCTTAACTGGTGTCGGCTGGTGACTGGCAAATCAGACCCTTCCCAGCGTCCCCAGGACTGACCGCCTTTCTGGCTGTCTAGGCATAAACTGATCGCACAAATGGCATGGTTTATGCCAAACACGTGCTTCCCTTCCAGGAGTCTGGAATTGGGGGCTGTGCTGGGAAGAGGGACGTACGTACTGGCCTCCAGTGAAGACTCTGGTGAATGGTCTCTAATGAGCTTGTTGTCACAACTCACCGCTGGAGAGTTAAGCGTGTCCCGGGTGACCCCACCAGGGAGGATCTTTGGAAGCTTGCATCCGGTTTCCCCGACTGAGACCCCACGTGTCTTTTCCCTTTGCTGGTCTTGCTCCTCACCCTTGCCCTGTAATGAATTATAGCTGTGAGGGCTACTCTGTGCTGAGTCTCTGCGTTTTCCTCATGATTCCCCAAATCTGACGGTGTTGCCAAAGAACTCACATAGCCCCCAAGAGAAGCAATGCCAGCATTTGGGTGTTGGCCAGATATAGGGGCACAGATGTCAGACGCGATAACATCGATCATGGAAAACCATTTTTAGATTTTAATTGCTCGGTTTTCTCCTTGAGCAGATCCTGGGGAGAGCAGAGGCCACGGGGGGCGTGTGGGAGGAGGGGAGAAATCGCAAATCAAAAAAAAAAAAAAAAAAAAAAACCAACCAGACGCAGAAGAGGGAGCCAGATGAAAAGCGCACACCCCCTCCCACTTTGCAGAGTCTGACCTGAGCTGGGCGGGAAGGAGAGTTGGCAGGAGGCTGGCGGGGGGCGGGGTGGGCAAGGGGGAGTTTGGGAGGAAAAACTGAACTAGAAATTAAGTTTTGCTATTTCTAATATCAAAAATAACTGTAAATAACTAGGAAGAGGTTAGAAAAGCCATGTGATCTTCTTGAAATGTTGTCAAGGATGGGAATGAAGGTCCAGAGTGTATATCTGAGGACAATATGGGAGCAGAATAAACCTATTTCCCCGTTGGATTTTACCAAGTCCAGACCATCCAATAGTACCAAAACCCACTTTCTAAACGCGAGCCAAGTGCTCCCTAAAACCACACAGGGCCTACAGGTAAGCACACTCATCTGTAGTTTGAAGACCAGTGGCTTTGAATTCCAGCTCTGCTTTTTTAGCCATGCAGTTTTGGCAGAGGGTTCTTAATCTCTGAGCCTTGATTTCTGTTGTCCTAAAATGTGGTCTTGAATGTCAAACCTCACACACGGCTCATTGTGGGAAAGAATGAGAGAAGACACATTAAGGGGCCTACTCGCTTTGGAGGGCTCAGCAATAGAACCCTTCTCCTATTGGTAACCCACCCTCTTTCACCCTCTTTGGAGTTTTGTGAAATATTTGGAGGAGGAGGGACTCTGTGGGGTTGCGTGTTTTTATGGTCTTTCCTCTGTTGGTGGGAGTGAACGTTCGCGCAAGTTTGCCGAATGTGTAGTTGGGGAAGCTGCGATTTGGGCCCAGGAGACCTGGTTCCTCGACTGCCTCTCACAGGTGAGTCCAGCAGCCACCAGCACTGGCTCTGGGATGCTGTGTCCATTCCCAGCATGAACGTTGCTCGCTGTCTCTCCCATCACGCATCCCTGGGCTATCGTGTTGCTGAAAGGGAATTTGGGTGTGTTTCCTTCCCTATTAACGTTACTCTGATGACAGATTGAAGTGTATGTTTTTTCCATGAGGATAGACATATCCACATCCTTTCAAAGTACATCTCCATCCACGCCTTGGACAATACAGGTATGCCTGAAATTCAACGCGTGGAAAATACTGGATTTAAATAAAGCAAGTAGATGAGGGTGTTCCTCAAGTGAAGGTAGCATTGCAAGCCACCCTTCAAGGCCATAGGATGTTTCTGGGAACCGGAGGACCCATAGGCTATCCACCCAGCTGTGAAACTCAAGAGAGCCTGTTTCCATCAGGAACTGCCAGCTGGTCCTTCTGCCAACAAGAGCTTAAAACACTCCTAGCGCACAGTTCTTGGGTTTCCTTCTTATCTTTACCACTGCATATTTAGACCTGATGGGAGCGAGAATGCAAAACAGTAGAAACACGCATATTTAGCAAATATATTTTAAGCAAACTTTATGCCTCTCTGACCTTCATTTTCCTCTTCTGAGAATGAGGAAGACAGACTAGATCAGTGGTGTCTTAACCTTGCTGCATCTAGGATCATCTGGGAGCTTTTAAAAAATACAGATGCCCAGGCCCTCTGCTCACCAATTAAACTGGAATGTCTGAAGTGGGGGGGGGGGGCGGGCAGGGTATGGGTGTTTTCCACAAGCTACCAAGGTCATTCTGATAGGAAGCTCCCACTGGGCTACATCACGCTTGTTATTTCCACCTCTAATGTTCCTTTTATGATCTTTTGTTTCAAGGGTGGCCATAAAACAGTGGGATGGCTTCCCATACCTCTCATGAAAAGCCACCTGAATGCCAATCTTTCTCTTTGTGTAGTTGAAGGAATCCAGGCCAGCCTGTGGATTTGGGACTGACCAAGTCATAGCGTGGTTTTAGGAACTTTTCTACTGCTACACATCTGATAGGTAATGATGAAATCTAAGACCCGAGGAGTGAAGAAATCAAATGGGGGGCTT